ATGAGGGAAAGCAGCCTGCAGATTTCTTCTGCAGTCATTGCCCAATATATTTGGGTCTGTCTAGTTATCCTCAGAATAACTTCTGGGGATGGACAGCCCACCTATTTCTAACAGTAGTTCTCAAAAGTCTTCACTGGTTCTCTTTGCCACCTGAATAGCTTCCTAAACTATGGGGCCAAAGTAGAGCTAATGGATTTACTGATTTTTCAGTTTGTCAGGAGTTCATAAAAAAATGGATTAGGTCAAACGGAATCCTAAAATTGCAAAAAAATTGGAAAATTTAAAAAAAAATTTTTGGATCAAATGAAACATTCATACTGGCATTTCATAGTCATTCATAATGACAATAAATAGTCATTGGGCTAGAGAGAGAATGTGTGAAAATGACTGACTCTGTAGCCTGGTTGTTATGGCTCTCGCCTATGATGTATGAGACAGCTGCAAGCTCAAAACCCTGCTGCAATGACTTAATTATTTATACACATAGAGACTGACTGACTGTCCCACCAGATCATATCATATGGCTAGGGCATTCTCTTGGTATGTGGGACGCTCAAGTTCAAATCCCTGTTCCACATCAGACAGAAGGGGGAATTGAATCCAGGCCTCCCATATCCCAGGTAAGGGCCTGAAGCACTGGTTGAAAACTTCTTTCCCCTAAATTGTTTATTTTTAAGGTCAAAAATATTTGCCAAAACCATTCAGCCATTAGTCAAAAAACATTATGAGATCATTGTAGGCAAATGTTAATTTGTTACTGGAACAAATAGCCAAATAGCTATGATTCTGTTCTTACTAGATTTTCAAGAAGCCCTTTCACCATCCTCTAAAATTCATTGTAACTTTACAATATAATGTGGGGGCAACTTATTGCAACCCAAAAGAAAGGAAAATTCTTCTTGGAATTTTCAACTTTTATTGCGAAGTTAAGTTTCTGCAGGAGGCAGTTGGAGGACAAGGAGTCAGGGAAAGGATGTTATATTAGATGTTCACCAAAAGCCTAAAGATTACTACTGTAAATTCTTTGCCTTTTGGCTAATCAAGGACACAGATCCATTCTCCTTTTGAGAATCACAATAGACTTTTATTTAGTAAGGCACAGGTTGTTAATACTTTCCTTTCTCATTTGCCTAATCTCATGTTGATTCATGCCTCTATCAGTGGTTTATAAATTGACTTGCCTGTTCTTTCATCTGTCTCCTGGCATCATCTTCCCTTGAGTTACAAATCAGATCTTGTGCCCATTACTTAAGCAAACTCCCTAATGGTTTAAAATGTCATTAAATAGCACAACTAAAATACAAGTGAGATCACCAGAATGACTCATTGATAATGTCTGCTTTTGGATGTGAGGAACATTAGCAAAGACTGGTCTATCTTTAGCTGGGCACAACCAGTACTTGGACTTACTACTCTTTTGACTATCTGACCCAGATATTGGATTATAGCCAGGTCAGAAGGATGGGTCCCACTTTTTGAGGGAATCTTTTAGAAAATAAACATTCGAATTTCTGTAAAAAGCAACAGAGGGTTCTGTGGCACCTTTGAGACTAACAGAAGTATTGGGAGCATAAGCTTTCGTGGGTAAGAACCTCACTTCTTCAGATGCAAGTAATGGAAATCCATTTACTTGTATCTGAAGAAGTGAGGTTCTTACCCACGAAAGCTTATGCTCCCAATACTTCTGTTAGTCTCAAAGGTGCCACAGGACCCTCTGTTGTTTTTTACAGATTCAGACTAACACGGCTACCCCTCTGATATTCGAATTTCTGTCATATTACCCTCACTAAATATATATCTGTTTGTCTGTGAACCCATGATTGTCATTTTGGATATTTTACACAGTAACTAGACACTCATGTCTGGCCTGTGCCAGCTGACTCAGGCTCGCAGGGCTTGGGCTATTTCAATGCTGTGTAGACATCGAGGTCAGGCTGGAGCCTGGGCTATAGGACCTGTGAGGTGGAAGGGTCCCAGAGCTCAGGGCTCCATCCCAAGCCCGTAAGTCTACAACAGCAGTGAAACAGCCCAAGCCCTGTAAGCCTGAGTCAGCTGGCATGGGCCAGCCACTGGTTTTTCTTTGCTGTGTAGACATACCCCAACAGGCAAATGAGCTACTGACTCCTAATACAGCTCTAATAGGGTTAACAGGGAAAAAAAACAAGAAGTCAATTGAATGTAAAACTGCCCAACTCTGTACAGGTGCTCCCTGATCTGGTTTTACTCTGTATCTTATGAGAAGTAACACCACAATGAACCCCTGACCATTCTTCACTGTCTGTTCAGTTCCAGAACTTTCCACTTCTATGGAACCCATAGCATGAGGTTGACATCCTAATTTTTTTTTAATAGTTTACACCTTTTTTCAATTTGACTCTAGTTCTGATAAAGGTGCAGTATTTAGCTACAAAAGTTACATCGGCTAGGGAGTCACAGTACAAGTTGCTCCACAACACCCAGGCAAGGCCCCTATACCCTGGAATGGAGGGTCTCTTTCTACAAAGGAGGCATTGATCAGTGTCCATGCCCATTTAATCTCTGAGCTCTCTGTGGAGACTACAAAGATAGGCCCAGATCCTGCAGTTGCACCAGGTGGACTGACCCTTGTGATTGTCTGGACACCCATTAATTTCAAGGCAATTCCACAAGGGAATGGAGTTTGGGTTTAGTTCAAGAAATGGTTAAATAATACTAGCTGATATGGTGGGTTTAGTGCTGAATGTACATTTTCATTGCTACTACGGACCTGTGAGTAGTCCCACAGTAGAGTAGACTACTATTCTCAGTAGTAAAATTAATCACATTTATAAGTGTTTGTAGGATTGAGGCTTCTGTGAACTAGATATGGAAAAACTATGTAACCCATGATTAATCCTGCTCTTATCTTAATTTGCTTGTATAGTTGCTAATGATTTTGTGCGTGTGTGTGGGGAGGGGGAGCGGACAAACAAGTCTGCAATTTGATTAACCCAGGTAACACCATTTCTGAAACTAAAAGTTTCTGAATTATTGTGTCTCTGATGCTGTGAATGCCTTCATCTACCATTCTCCTTGAATATGATTGTTTTTTACTGTTTACCACATATGGGTTTTTAAAATAAAACCAGTCAGTGCCTGTGAAAAGTAAATCTAAAATAAGACTGACTGATTTCTTTCTAAAACCTTGCTGGCTTGTACAGCCTTTTTCTGCACTAAAAGCTAGCGATACCTTATAGCCTTTCACAGTTGTCAGACCATATAATTTTATCAAATAATTGGTTCTGGTCTTCACAAAACTGCAAGTAACAAAGTTCACATTATTTTATTTAAAACTTTTCTGCTGTTGATGGAATTCTCCTCCTTCCCTTTTTCTTGGCTCAAGTTGCTGGATTCTCTCATTTTTGACCATTTCTAACCTATTTAAAGCTTTTGATAAGTGCCTGTTATCTGATTTCTGGTACAAAAATCAATTTGTTTGACCACAGCTTTTCCTTTAAAATCTTGAGAGCATTTGATACACCCTTGGCATAACCTCCATCTACCTGTCTTTGAGTAAATAACATCACTTTTTAGATGTTCATTCTCCATCACTTAGTAAACTGTTTTTTTGTTGTTGTTACTTCATTTCATTCCCCTTAGTAATGCACTGATCAGCATTCAAAAAGCCTGACTCTGTTGAACTAAGATAGTGGGATGTTCTAAGTTGGATTGCAAAAGACCATTGTCATTCCAGTACTAATGACTGTTAACCAAAGGGTACGTCTTCACTACCTGCCGTATTGGCGGGTAGCAATCGATTTATCTGGGATTGATATGTTGCGTCTCGTTAAGACGCGATATATCGATCCCGAAACGTGCTCACCGTCAACGCCGGAACTCCACCAGAGCGAGTGGCGGTAGTGCAGTCGACTGGGGAGCCGCAGCCGTCGATCCCGCGCTGTGTGGACCCCAGGTAATTCGATCCAAGATACTTCGACTTCAGCTACGCTATTCGCGTAGCTGAAGTTGCTTATCTTGGATTGATCCCCCCCCGTAGAGTAGACCAGCCCCAAGTGTTAAAGCATTATCTCATCAATGCAGCAGGCTCTTAGTACTAACAAAATAATCCATTGAGTATAAAACCCTACTTAACGTGCGATATTGCAGATTATGCAATATTAGGCTTCCACCACAATTTTGACAGCAGGAGCCTCGCTGTGCATGGGTCTAACAGTGGGATACCCCGCCACCCCAGGGCTGAGAGCAGGAGCCCCCTCTCTCATCCCTGGGCAGCCGATGTAAGCCCCGGACCCCTGCTCCTAGCCCTGGGCAGCCAACAGCAGAAATTCACATAAAAATAACAATGCACTTTACCGCAAATATTAAGGTCCATTATTACTTTTCCACAATTTTCCATGGTTTGTCCACAACTCAAGTGCAATTTTTTTACAATCATCCTGCATTTCATGTAGAACTTTAATTGAGTAACAATAACAAAAAACTGCTTATGTTCATCCATTATTAATTGTTTTATTTCCAAAACACTTCATTCCATTCCTTTAAAATTAAAAACAGTGTACAATAAAATTAGGAAGGAAAGTGGGGTTTTTCCTCATGGGGTGAAAACTGGGCTCCGACACTTTTAAAGAGACGGTGTGCAAAACTGGCTCTCTTGTGTTTAAAAAAATCCTTTTTCTTGATTTTTAAGAGTATTAATCTATGTACAATAGAGAATGGAACAAGTTAAAAACAATAACTTACAGTGGTTAACACTGCCCCTTTTGAAGTATGACTTGTGCTTTATGAATGAAAAGATAAAACTACAGAAAAATAAAGAACTGTTGTTTCACTTGTATGTTTTTCTTTTCCATGTTCACATTTTTTAAACATTTATGAATCCTGCAAAACTGTTAAATTATGTATCAAGTTGATTTTTTCCAGGGTGTCCATGAAACCTCTGTAGGATGTGCTGGCTGGATAGCCCTTTAACTTCACCCAGAAAAAAAGCAGATTTTTAGAAATATTTTTTTTCTCTTTTTCAGCTGGAGAGACTACAGTCTGAGAATACCTCTGAGTGGGGAAAGAGAGAAATACTCGAAACAGAAAAGCAAGATCTGGAAAGAGAAAATAGAAGGTTGAAGGCCCAGGTGAAAGAAATTCAGGAACTTCTGGATAAGAGAAATAAACTGCCATCAACTACCTTGGGTTCTGATTTCAAAACAGCACAAAGTGAACTACTGGAAAAAAATAAGGTACGGACTTTACTTGGTAGTAGATCCAAACTTGTTTAAAGGAAGTTCTCAGCCATTAGCACAAATTTAAAATAGCCAGTGATTCTGGAAACATTGATGCAACATTGATGTAACGTTACACACAGGAGTATTCCTACTCAAGTCAAAGGGATTAGTACATGCATCAAGTAGTGCATGAAGTTAAGTGTTTGCAGGATTAGGGGCCCTAATGTATTGCTTAATTTTGTATTTGAATGGATGGCATGTTCTTTGAAAAAAGGCTGTGATGGGTGTAGTCATTCCATAAAGTATTACAATGACAATGATTTTTATGCATTGTTGCTATAGCTATTTACTTTCTTTTTCAAGCTGAAATATGACAAGCAAAATCATAATAAATATTTCCATACTAGACTTTCTTTCATGTAAACTCACTTTTACAGAACTTCAAATTACTGGGCTCCTATTTAATTTATTTTGTTCAGTATTCAAATATCGTATATAGTTCATTCTTTTAAACTTTACTACTGAAAATCTCATTCTTCCAGAAGGAGTCTGGGTTTCTAAAGAACAACAAACTGCTTATATCTTATCTTCCTAAAATATCTTTCCACACTATTGTCACAGTTCAGGACAGCTGCACTGGGGTCTTGTAGGTTGTTTCTGTTAGGAGGAGAAATTGAAGATGAAGTCTGGTATCTCTTTGATAGAATCCTGTATATTTACAAACGGAGCCTTGTTTCCCTGAACATAGTAGGAATCACACAGCAGAATGCAATTCCTTCTATTTGAAATGGCAGAAGACTTGAAGAGACGTGGGTTCCTGGCATACCTGGATACCAATGAGGATTTCCAGGATAAATGGACAACGGACCAATTTATAGACACTCAGCTAGACTTGCAGATCAAGATCAGCAAAAAGAGGTCAAATGCACTTCAGGAGACTGTGGGATTTGCCACAGAACTTGAATCTTTCCATACGGCACATCATCAGAAGTAGAAACAGTCACTAGTGAGAAAGATGGAAGCTGATCTCTATGAGTCCTATAAGTACAGGTCTGTGTCTAATATGCATGAAGTCAGAGGGGATGCTGGGATTGATGTATGCCTTTCTGGCAATTCCCAGGGTAACAAGTGTTCTGAAGAAACAGTAGTGAGATGCAGGCTTGATAATCATAATAGCCCCAGTGTTGGGCAGGCAGTTCTTGTCTTAAGCTCTGATGAACCTAGCAGTGAAAAATTAGCCTTACAGCCATCAATCTGACATAATGTCCACCAAAAGAAGTTGTTCAGCTGAAGATCACAGCATTCTGTTTGAAAGCAGGAAGGCTTCAATCCAAATGATTTATAAAGCTATATGGAAGAGGTTTTCTGTTTGGGCATCTCAAAACCAGCTGTCCCCCTTGACAACACCTATTTCAGTGGTGGTGGACTATTTACTAGTCTTGAAGCAAGCTGGACTTTCCATCAGCTCCATAAGGCTTCATTTAGCAGCAATATCTGCACATTTCCGACAGTCAAGTCTACACTGTATATTCTCATCTACAGTGGAAAGAATCCTTAAGGGCCTTATTCATGTTTTCATAAAGACAGGGTCATTCTCAGGCCTCACCCCAAGTTTCTGCTCAAGGTTGCTTCAGACTTCCATATAAATCAATTAATTTGTCTTCCAGTTTTCTTTCCCAAGTCTCAACCCTGGCAGGGGGAAGCTAAACTTCACATATTTGATGTATTAAGGGCACTGTCTTCTTATTTTGGTGGAAGAAAGTAAATTAGGAACACACCCAGATTACTTGTGGTCTTTTCTGCTAGGGGTAATGGTGAGGCAATATCCTTACAGAGATTATCAGAATGGGTCTCCAACTGTATAAGAACATGTTATGAGCTAGTCAGCCTCATATAGTCATTAGAATTTATTCACTAAATGTCCCTATTTCTGAAATCAGCAGGGCAACTACATGGAGTTCAGTTCACACCATTTTAAGACACTACTTATTGGTAGAAGTTCCAGATCAGATAGCTGTCCTGCAGTCATTATTTTAGCAGGATTTCTACTACTCACCTCTCCATGTGTATTCCACAACCCTTTCTGCTTGCTGGCTACTACAGAACCCTACTTATTTTGGGATTCTGTGTTGGTGAAGGATCTAAGGGGTGGTTGGCTCTGCTCAGTCCTCAGGTGGTGGGGCTATGACACCTAAAGCACAGGCTTTACCGCAACAGACACTGCTGGCCAAAAGGAACCCATCTCATGCCACTAAGAGAGGAATCCATGTGGACCACACATCTCAAAGAACCAAAGCTACTGTGGATAAGTATCTGTTCTTTTCTGTGCCTCACTCTGAAGAAACGTCTCCTCAAACTTCCCCCAAAGGTTTTCATAACATAATAGAAGAGTCCTATTATTTAAATTACATTGTCCGCCCTCTGGCCAGTATAGGACTTTCCCCTATATTACTGTGTATTCTCCAGTGCTTCTCTAGGTAGATTGGTGTATCTTAGTTGTTCAATTAGAAAATAGTTGGGCTAAAATAAGAAATAGGCCATTATTTAAACTGAACCCTGCTGTGTTTTTTGCTCACACTTTATATTAAGGCTGCTTTTTATAAAAGGTTAATAAATGATCAATAGCTGTTTTAAGCATGTTAAAGACATGAGTAGTATTTGCTATAGAACAGTGGTTCCCAAACTTTTGGTCCACACACCAACTGCATTTTGTCTTTCTTCTGTGACCCACAGTTCATATTCATAAACCAGTGTCCTCCTTTGCCTCCACCTCCTTGCCTTGCTGAGGGGGCAACGACCACCTGCAGCAGCACCCTTTGCTCCAGCACTTCAATCCTAATCCAGGCCCACTCGAGAAGGGAAGCCCCCAGGTGGGAGGGGAGAGTATGGGGGAGAGCATGAGTGAACACAGTGAAGAGTGAGCTCACCCATGACTCACTGGGCCTGGGCTGGTCCTGGCTCCCTGCTCCAGGCATTTTGATCCAGTGCACATGATTGCAGCACCATTCAGGTCTAGGCCAGCCATGCCTCCATCATGACTGAGTGGCATTCCAACCCCCTGCACCAGGTTGCAGTTACACTCACTCAAATTTGGCTCAACACCCATCCATCATGATGGAAGAGCGGCTGGGCCAAACCTAAGTGGTGCTGCAACCCTGTGCACCAGATTGCAACACTCAGCATGAGTCGGAGGTGGGCTCGCTCTGCAACCCCCATCCACTGACAGGGCTTCTCCTTCTCACCAGGCCTGTGACTAATCTAGAACCTGGCCAAACCCCCCGGGGAGGTATTAGCAGGAGTGTAATAAGCAAGACACAAGAAGTAATTCTTCCACTCTACTCAGCACTGATAGGGCCTCAAATGAAGTCCTGTGCCCAATTCTGGGCACCATACTTTGAGAAAGATATGGACAAACTGGAGAAAATCCTGAAGAAAGCAACAAAAATGATTAAGGGACTAGAAAACACAATCTATGAGGAAAAAGAACAGGAGTACTTGTGGCACCTTAGAGACTAACAAATTTATTAGAGCATAAGCTTTCGTGGACTACAGCCCACTTTCTATGAGGAAAAATTTTAAAAAATGGGTTTGTTTAGTCTGGAAAGGAGAAGACTGAGGGGGGACATGATAATAGTCTCCAAATATGTAAAAGGCTGTTACAAGAAGGAGGTTGATAAATTGTTGTTTACCACTGAGGCCTGGACAAGAAGGAATGAGCTCAATTGCAGCAAGGGGGGTGTAGGTTGGACATTAGGAAAAACTTGGTAACTGTCAGGGTGGTTAAGACTGGAATAACTTACCTAGGGATGTTGTGAAATCTCTGTCATTGGAGGTTTTTAAGAACAGGTTAGACATACACCTGTCAGGGATGGTCTAAATAATGTTTAGTTCTGCCTCAGTGCAGAGAACTGGACTAGATGGCCTATCAAGGTCCCTTCCAGTCCTGTGATTTGGGAAATACTTTGGTATTTGGGAAAAATATTTTGGTGATTTGGGAAAAAACATTTCTGTGATTTGGGAAATACTTTTATAGATAGTTATAAGCACACTAGTAGATGGTCATAAACCTTGGTTATAAGTGTCTTTCTGGAGAATATAACAATCAACTAACTATTAAAATACCTATTATCTTGTTCCCTCTGTATTAAGGATAAGTTTCTAAATAGTTATGAAAGCATGCCCATGAGGTCTTTTTTTTAAGGTCTTAAAAGTATTTAGCTTACTTATTACAGAATTAGCCCATTCGTAACATGGATGCATTCAGAGAGATTACAGCAGTGTAACTTAGGATATAATTAATGTTATGACATTTTATTTCCCATGTGGTTTTGCAGTTTATTGCTCCAGTAGCCCTTGCTGCTATTTTTAGGAAAAAGAGAGGAGAGAGTGAGAAGGAGTGTGTGCCCATGAGCTTGAGTGATTGCAATTGTATGTTCATTAAGCAGTAGGTTATGTGCCTTGAAATGGGGTCAGATAGATGCTAGGTATAGAATGTGTGTTGGAGGGGGTGTGAGGGTGGGGGGAGGATTCAGGGAAGGGAGAGCGAACAAAAGAACCAGGGCCAGAGTTTGTTATCCTTACTTGATTTGAGTTACAGTAGCTCATTCCAGGAGTAGACCAGCTGAAATCTGTGGGACTGCTCTGAATAAGGTGCAACTTATCATGACTGAGGGTGCTGTCAACATTTGGCACAAATGAGCTTCTGTAACTTTTTCATGCTTAATTGTTTGTATGTGATTTATGTTGTTTTGCTTTCTTTCGTGATTTTTTTAAAATAATAAAAATACAGTGAAAACTTAGTATAGGTAAGCACGAGCCATTGAATGGACCAGGTGTAAACAAATAGCCTGTAGCTTCTAACCCAGACCACTTGCCAAATAAATTCCCCTCTCTTATCCCTTCCCCACTGCCCACCAACAAAGGAAAGATTGGAGATGAATCTACAATCTATGAATAGTTATGCCATACAAATTGTGGGTCAGGACTCCAAAGTGGATCGCGACCCAATTTTAATG